TTTTCCTGTAGAGAAAATGGCAGACTCCATTTTCACATCTTTTTCTGTGCTGACACTAGATTACCTTTGGCTCATTAGCTTCAAAATTTCTTTCAGACCTTCACATCATCAAATCAAGCTCAAGACAGTTGTTTTGAATGTGAACCAAATGCTTGTACACTATATTGCCAAATGTAATCACTCACCCATCCAAATCATTGAATTCAGGTGTTCCAATCACTTCCATGGCCACAAGTGTATAAAACCAAGCACCTAGGCATGCAGACTGCTTCTACAAACATTTGTGAAAGAATGGGTCGCTCTCAGGAGCTCACTGAATTCCAGCGTGGTACTGTGATAGGACGCCACCTGTGCAACAAGTCCAGTCATGAAATTTCCTCACTACTAAATATTCCACAGCCAAATGTCAGTGGTATTATAACAAAGTGGAAGTGATCGGGAACGACAGCAACTCAGCCACGAAGTGGTAGGCCACGTAAAATGACAGAGCCGGGTCAGCGGATGCTGAGGCGCATAGTGTGCAGAGGTCGCCGACTTTCTGCAGAGTCAGTCACTACAGACCTCCAAACTTCATGTGGCCTTCAGATTAGCTCAAGAACAGCATAGAGAGCTTCATGGAATGGATGGTTGGGGGGTTATGGTGTGGGGTTGTTTTTCAGGAGTTGCGCTCGGCCCCTTAGTTCCAGTGAAAGGAACTCTTAATGCTTCAGCAGACCAAGAGATTTTGGACAATTTCATGCTTCCAACTTTGTGGGAACAGTTTGGGGGTGGCCCCTTCCTGTTCCAACATGACTGCGCAGCAGTGCACAAACCAAGGTCCATAAAGTCATGGATGAGCGAGTTTGGTGTGGAAGAACTTGACTGGCCTGCACAGAGTCCTGACCTCAACCCAATAGAACACCTTTGGGATGAATTAGAGTGGAGACTGCGAGGCAAGTCTTCTCATCCAACATCAGTGTCTGACCTCACAAATGCGCTTCTGGAAGAATGGTCAAAAATTCCCGTGAACACACTCCTAAACCTTGTGGAAAGCCTTCCCAGAAGAGTTGAAGCTGTTATAGCTGCAAAGGGTGGGCCGACATCATATTAAACCCAATGGATTAAGAATGGGATGTCACTCAAGTTCATATGCATGTGAAGGCAGACGAGCGAATATTTTTGACAATATAGTGTACCTCTCCTCATTACATTTTCATAACTCTCCTGTTTCTTCTCCCTTCCCTTCATGAGTTTTTGCATTCCAGCACTTTGTTTTATGACCGAAAGACTAAAAAAACAAGTTTCAACATGCAAAAGCCACCTTGGTGTAGACAGGCTTGTTTCTCGTTTTCCTTACCTCTGTATTCAATATTGTATATTAATACAGTGTAAGCACCACCCCCTCAGTGGTTTTCTGTCAGGGTTTTCCTTCCCTTAGATGGACTGCCCTCCCAGGCTAATGAGTTCCATCTACCCGGATTCCACTGACTTACATTAAAAATAAAGTATGTTTTTTCCTTCTCCTGTAAAGTTATAATTTTGCAGATACGAGGTTTTGTTCCGAAAGCAGTGATATTCTCTATTCATATTGCTTTTATTGTGTTATTGTTTTGCAACCAGAGAAGGATGGTCTCCTTTCTGAGTCTTCATTCCCCTCCAGGTTTAAAGAGGAATCTTTCGAAAAAGGAGACCACATTCTTTAGATTTTAGTGCACCTTTTGACACTGTTAATGCTTTTTTATTTGCTGTATTAATATTTGGATGTGTCACAACTTTCTCCAATTGAACAGAGAAACAACAGAAGTCCTGGTCATTGGGTCCAGAGCGCAGATGGAGAAACTGCTTTTCTCTTCATGCCAGCTGTGCCTTAGCTTGACATCTAGATAGGCTTGTTTTGCTAACTCCTCTCTTAAGTTAATTGAAATTGCAATTTCCAAATTGACTAAACAAGTTAGCATAGAATCAGCAAACCAAGCTACCCATTCAGTCAGCTAGCTCCTTAGCTAGGCAGCCAGGCTAAAATGTGGTACAGCTTTCTATAAAAGCACTTGCAGTGTACATACATTAGTATTTAGTAATGCATCATTGGTAAAACTCTATCTTTACAACTTTAAAGAAAGCTTGCTGTATTATCCACAGCGCTGCTTAAAGATTGTGAACTCTTTTGCAGTATGTGAATTTCTACATAAATGTGACCTAAAATGCCATTAGATCTTTATATACGTCATAACAATAGATAAAGAGAAGCCAGTAAAACAGATTTTTCATTTATTTATTAGACATTGTGATCCAGGATTTAATGTCTTTGTTAGCAAAAGAATGTGAACCTTTGCTTTCAGCAACTGGTATGACCCCCTTGAGCAGCAATGACTTCAACTGAGTGGATCCTATAACTGTAATCAGCCCTGTAAAGTGACTCGGAGGAATCTTTGCCCATTCCTCTTACAGAACAGTTTTAACTCTCTTATAATGGTGGGCTTTCTTGCATAAATGCCAGTCTTAAGTCCTGACACAACATTTCTATTGGATTGTCTGTGTGTCTGCCCTGCAATGGACTGGCGACCTGTCCAGGGTGTTCCCCCTGCAACCCAGAAGGATAAGCGGCTTAGATCCTGTGTGTGTGTTTGTGTTATTTGTTTCATTAGGTTCTCTTTCTTAACGTTGTGACTGAAATTAAAATCTGATCTCATTTTAGGTGAAACTTATACAGAAATGCACATCATGCTGAAGGGTTCACTACCTTTCAAGCAGCACTGTACCTCACACACTGTAGTAGGATGTCAGGATTACAGCAATGTCAAGCCGTCCCTGATAGCTGAACATTCTAGAGGGGGTGTGGCTAAACTGGAAATTCAAATGGATGGAACCGATGTATGTATTTAACAACACAAATGAGTATTTTAAACTTGTATCGTCATTGTCAACAATTTACTTTGCCTTTTACTATCAAATACAGTTAACCTAATATAATTTAATTCAAAGGGTACATTGAAAAATGAAAAACAGGGACAGTGCAGATGAGATCACATCAAAATGCAAGCTAGATATTAGACTAACTTATCGGCCCTTTGCAAAAACACAGATTATTTTGTCTGAGAAGTAAATTTAAAATCTTTTCAAAGGATTTAGAGGCACTCCTAGACTGTCATCACAGCACCCACTTTGGGAAAGAATGCCCTGGAGGGCACAGTTGGTGAGACTGTAGGGCACTGCATCTCATTTTGTTCATTGGAATTATTTTGTCTCTTATTTTGTCAAGTTATCCCATTGTGAGGGCACCTATATGGCTCCACATCACATCCATTAGGAAACTTCTTCACATTCTCACACATGTAGCGACATCCTTACAGCACTGCATCACATTTTATCCACTGGAGGGGCACCCTTTGGGACACTGTCATGTAATGGTGGCATAGAGGGCATTTCATAATGGCAGGCTCTTTCATTGTAAGGGCATTCATAAAGAATGCCAGGTTTAAACCACTGTAAGGGCACTCCACTAGAAAGGCAGTCATTAAAATTTGGTATTAAATTTTATTGCTCTAGAGGGCACATCATCATAATTTATAGCATAAAAGGCACCCTAGAGGGCACTTAATCCCCATAGGGGGAAGACAGTTGAAATGTAAATAGTGTACCATGAAGTCTGCACAATAGGAACTGACTTACTATATTATGAACAGGTGACGGTACCAAATTCAGCCAGTAGGTGGAGACAGATAGTAAGCTTTGACTAATGATAGTCTGGGAGACCCACAACACACTGCATTTTATTAAACTTAAAATATGTGATTGATGTTTAGCTGAGGAGCTGAACTAAGTCTGTTAGAGCTGTGCAGTGCTCCTGCTGGGAATAGAAAGTGATGGATAAGATCACTTCCATTCTCAGAATGTCATGCTCTGTGAATCTGAATTTCACTGTAAAAGCTGGAGCTTCACCCGCAGTGTGTTTGATTATGGTCAGCATGCATGAAGGAAAAAGACATGCATTTCATCACCTCATGTCCCTGCAGGGTTTTGATGCGTTAGAGAAAAATCATTCTATCTGAACGAACAGCCACAGACGTATTTGTCCAGAAAGATACAGTTACAGTTGAAAATAACCATAGAGTATTTGATTCATAACACATGAAGACATCTGTAGCCTCTTCTGGTTTTACACAAGAAAATAGCTTCATAGTATATGTATGGACAAAAACAATGCATTTAATCATGCTGATTCACCATCATGGTGAGCTATACTGGGATAAGTAGTTTGTGAATCAATCAATCAATCTGTCTATCTATCTATCTATCTATCTATCTATCTATCTATCTATCTATCTATCTATCTATCTATCTATCTATCTATCTATCCTCCCACATACTGTACAGCACTATGCAAAAGTTCAAAAATTATTGAAAGATTGAATAACACCAAAACTGCCACTATCAGATAAACAGTACTGAAAGCTTTCATCTTTGAAATATCTACTATATATATATATATATATATATATATATATATATATATATATTATAGAATGATGAGCAAAACAAGGAAGCTGCTGGTGTTCTCAGAACAATGGACTGACCGCCCCAGAGCCCAGACCTCAACATCACTGAAAGTGTTTGGGATTATTTGGATTGCAAAAAACAGAAAATGCAACCAACTTCTGAACTTTGAGATGTCTTTGACAAACAGAAAGTAGGTGTCTTGAAAATAGCAGAAGCTTTAATACCTTAATAAAGGCAAAGTGTGGAGACACTATTTATTAAAGAAAATGATATTATATTTACTCTGTAATGATTAGCATTTTTTTTAATTATGTTAATGAAATGAATAAAAGGTGGTCTCTGACTTTTGCACAGTGCTGAATACCTCATTGTATGTTGTTTGTGTAAATGGGGAATCCCACAGAATAAGAAACATGGACAAAATATATTTTGTTGCACGCGCACACACACAGACACACACACACACACCTTTCTGTCATGCCCCTCCCCTTGAGGAAAAGGTGATGAATGAGGCACAGGACTGATACAACCCTTCAAATGAAGAGGAGGAAAGCAGAGTAAAACAGACAGAAGGAAGAAGGAGAGAGAAAGAGAAGAGACAAAGTCCAGCATGCCTCAACCAAGGTGAGTAACATGTTGCTGTGCCTGTTCCAACACAGGTTTTTTTTTTAACAGAGGCAGATACTGTAATATTACTAGTTTGAGAAAAACAGTGTTTCCAGCACAGAGCAGTGACCTGTAAAACTTGTTCAGGTAACCCAGCCTTACCTAATGTGCAGAGACCTTTCTGGTGATTAGGCTTTAAAGGAAAGTGACTGAACAGGTGTTTAGAGAAAGAAAGTCACTAAAGTATGCATAGCATTACTCTTAAGCCTAGTTCTGGACTAAACTGCAATGTATTTAATCTAGTTTTAGGCTTAATCTGGGTCTGGGAAACTGGCCCTTAGATTACAATGAAAGTCAATTTATTACTGTGCCAACAGTCTGAGACTAAAGATGTCATAATACCGTGACAAATGTGTGCAAGCAGTGCCAAAATGACTATGAACTCCTATGTACTATCGTTACATGCATAGTTCAATCAATCAACCTGTATTTAAACTCTGACCCATATATATACATTATAATATATACATTAAACATATATATACATTATAATATCGCTTTTGTCGGGACAAAACCTTGTGTCTCAATTTTTATTGTTTTTCAGTTTTTGACATAATTTGAAAAGGCCTATTGCCCTTTACATTATATATTAATTTCATGATGATTGGACAAAAAGAAATGGCCAAAAAATGACTTGGGGGGGAAAAAGTCTGGTTTCATTGACTTACACTAACAGTTGAGAAGGCTTTTTCCTTCTCCTGTAAAGTTACCATTTTGGAGATATAACGTTTTGTTCTGACAACAGCGATACACATATGGCATGTTGTGATAGTACAAATTTAGCAAAGAAAAGAAAATATGAAGAAATTATTATTGAAACAGTACATGAAACTAATAATTAGGAAATGTTAAGGCAAAGACAAATCAGGGCTTCCAATTAAAATATATTAAACAGATTATTTTTAAAAAATGTAATTGAAGTAAATAAATAAAACTAGTAAGTAGGATAAGAACAAAATTATAAAATAGTGAGCAATATTAAAATGATAATAGTAATGATACATGGAAATTATGGTGATGGAAACACAATAAAATAAGCAAAATAAATGACAATAAAATTAAAAAATAATAAATTAACCAAGTAAGAAACTTAAATAGATAAAATAATAAAAAAACTAAATCAACTAAAGCAGTTGCAGGCTGAGTGGAGGTGGTTATAGATTAAAAGTGTAATGTATCTCTAACCACCATAATTATTCTATATAATATGCTATGTAATAGATATGTAGTTGAAGACCCTCCAGAATCATTAGCTAGCTGTACTACAGGTTAAGACAACCAGTGATGAGGCAGAAAGGATGAGGGCATCAGACTGTGTGTGATTTAACTTAACTTCTTAAAAAGCACAAGCTATTCAGTTCTTAAGGGTTATTATAAAATAATAATGAAATGACTATGAATTAGTAGAAGTAGATACTATGAAACTACTACGTTAAGTTTGTATCTATTACAGCGAGGAACTGAAGTCTGGACTTGCCCACAGGTCCTTACATTTGAAGGTGTTACAACATTGTTTTGACATTGTGTTTGCATCATTTTGTTGACTTTAACTATGAAACCTTGTATTTTCATTCCTTGAAAAAAAGAGAAAAGTGTCCGATAATAGTAGGGTTGTGAAAACAGTGTCTGCACTGTCTTAACCCCTTAGGCCCATATTCAGTTATTAATCTGAAGACTTACCGTTCATAAATGTCAATGAATTAATCAGTAACTGCAGTGAAACCAACATGTGGGTCATGTAGACGCGTGCCCAACTCACAGTTTATGAGTTTAAAGGCAGATGTTTATCAGGAACCAAGTGAAAATCTAGAGTTTCTGGAATAGAGCAGAGTTTTCTTACGTAATTTTCTGCTCTGCCTGTCCTGTTTTCCAGGGGCTTGCCATTGTGGAATAGAGTACCGATTGTGGTTTACTCGTTCTGTCACTGAGTCTCAGGTATGCAATGTAAGACTTATTGGCCTTTTTGTAGCTTCTCCTCCATTCTCTTCACACACACACACACACACACACACACACACACACACACACACACACACACACACACACACGCACACGCACGCACGCACACCCTCACCCATGCATACTGCTCTTTCCAAAGAGCTGGTATGTCAGAGGCAAGCACTAACTCGCTCATCACTGTAAGAAGAATAACATCACCCAAAAAAGGAGAAATGACTGTTGAGCATTTCAACGGAAGATAATAGGATGAGTCACAATTAGAGATAAACAATCTATATGTGTGAACAGACAATAGATCGAACTGACATCAATGACACATTTTAATTGTTTCTCTGACCTGCTGGCGCCTGAGGGACTGACCATTAACATATATACGCACACACCAAACACAGAAAACAATTGCACCAGCCAGCCTATTTTCAGTAACCAGATAATATGTAAATTCAGTAACCAGATAATATGTAAAAACAGAGGATAGGCCTTTTTAGTTTCCTTTCCTCACTTTAATTCTCTCATTTGTTTTTGTCTCCATCTCTGACTTTAAAATAACAACAAAAAAGCCCCCAAGCAGACAGATTGATGTATGGCCAAACTGTTCAGTCTGGACATACAGAGTCAGTGATGCAAACCGTCCTGACTTAGCAAAACACAATCACTTGTTATTACTTGTACATACAATCATCACAAACGCAGACCCTGGAAAGAAATGCCTTCAGTTTACCTCATGATGATTTTGCACAATTTTGCTGGTTTAAGCACTTGTAATTTTCCAAGCTGTACCAGAGGAAGCCAAGGCTGCCGTGTACTTGCAGCATTTTCATACACAGTTTAAAGATGTTAATTACTGTAAATGTTGATTCACTTTAAAACTTCAAAGCTAATCAGGTTAACATTATCTCACGGGGACATGCGGCCCTCATTGGTGAGATTTGTGCTCAGTCTCAGTCGTACCATTTGAGATCCATGAGATCTTCAAGAGTGACTGTCTTTCATCCCCATTTGAGATGAAATGGACATGAGAAATAAAACTGACCAAACATACAGACAATAAATCAAACAAAATCTGACACATGTGGACCACAAGTGTCACATTTGTAGTGTTTTTGAGGTCATGATTTGACGTATTTATGTCACTATTTCTAAATATGTATGAGAAATGATTATAACCCTGCTGAGCACAGCAACCATGAGAACACTGACCCAGCACTGAACTTTCTCATAGTGGGATGTAGTTGTTATCACAAGCTTAACTCACTGCTTTACTAAGTCTGACCAGTATATAAGAGGGTTTTGTTTTGTTTTTTAATGAGACACTTTTTTTTTCCTCCAGGGTGGAAGAGTAAAAAAGCACTTGATTAATGTGCATTTAGCCGCCTGAGTTCAATACAACTGTTTAAATTTACATACTTTTTTTAAAGTCCACCTGAGTTCTTTAACCTTGTTAGTTAATGTGCTTGGCCATATTAGGCACGACTTATGCCCACCTTTAAAATATCTTTAGATTTTTGATTACATCAACTTGTGTCAGCAGGCTGGGAAAAAATAATTTCAACATACTAATATTCACCTCCACTTCTCACCACCCATATGGAAAAACTATATGAACGTGTATTTTTGTATACTTGAAATACATAAATAAATGTATTTCAGAATATATTGCCATATTAACCAAATGTATTTTAATATACACATATTTTAAAATTTCTGATACCATGTCACATGATTTCCAATTCATGCTGACTTTAAAATGTAAAGTCTCAGGGGATGAGGACTGATATGTACAGTTCATTTAGGACAGAGAACTTGTCTGGGTTCTTTTAAAAGATCACACCATGCATAATGGTGCATAATATCTTTGATTTTTCCTTCATAATAAAAACAATTAGAGTAATAAATCTAACACATCGTCCTCCTTAATCCATAAATTCTATTATAACTTTTGTATCATACACACATGAATTCATTTCATCATCTTAAACTGATTTTGTGATGTAAATCAAATTTACACGATTTTTTCCCCCCAAATGTAGTTGATCAGAAATTTTGTTGTTTATTCAGTTTAGCACTGAGGTGAGGTTTGAGGCTAATGAAGCTAAGAAGCCTTGCAAGCCAGACTTCTGACTAGCATCAGACAGCTTTGACTGGAAGGGCAATTTGACTGATATGCAAAAGGATCAACCACAGACCTCTGTTTTTTATTGAGGTATAGCAGAGGGAGAGTGACAAAGCAACAAAAGAGACCTGTATGACAAATCATGTCTAACACAAAAGATCTCTGTTTTACTAACTGTTACTAACTGCTTAAAAAACTCTCAAAGCCTTTTGTAAAAATGGGAATTTTCCTTTTAATCCAGCACTCACATCCTGCTTTGAAAGACTTGTGTCATCACACTGTGCAGAGCAGGCAACTCCTTGCTACTGCTAACTAGCTGGCATTTAGTTTGATAAAGTTTAACAAAGTTTGTTTGCTGCCTGCCCTGCGATGGACTGGCGACCTGTCCAGGGTGTTTCCTGCCTTCTGCCCAGTGACCGCTGGGATAGGCTACAGCACCCCTCATGACCCAGTAGGATAAGCAGCTTAGATAATATGTGAGTATGTGTTTGCTGCCTGATAAAAACCAGTGTACGGAGAGGTGCAAACACGTTAGTGGGTCTTGTTAATCAGAATATAACATCAAAATTCCCATCTCCATTAGCACATAATATTTATTAGAATGTCCATGTATTACTGTTGGCTCAAGATCAATTATTTTTCTGGTAGAGAAAGAAATCAGCATATGTTCTGGATGACCATGCAGCGTGACCAGCTAAAGCAGCACTAGAGCAACATGGAATGCATGCTGTTTGCTGTTCTAACTGTTACTTTCTCTCTCTGTCTCTCTCTCTTTTCAGCCCACAGTCATGATGATCGTTTTCCCTCCCAATTCCTCCCTCATCCCTCAACCCTCCACTGAACAGCAGCTCCATTGCCCTGTTCTGGAGAAAATGCGTAACCACTCCCTCAACAATGACACCCATGTCAACCTGGTGGTGGTCGGTGTGCTGGGAGTGGTCTCTGGCCTAGGCATCCTGGAGAATGCGCTGGTCTTGTGGGTGCTGGGCTTTCGTCTGCGGCGGAAGACCGTGGCTGCAGTGTGGGTTATCAACCTGGCACTGTCTGACTTCCTGGCCACCCTGACGCTGCCTCTCTTCACACACTACCTGGCAATGGGACACAGCTGGGAGCTGGGACAGGCGCTCTGCTCCGCCGAGGCCTCCATCTTCTTCCTAAACATGTTCGTCTCTGCCTACCTGTTGGCCGCCATATCGCTGGACCGCTGCCTGCTGGTGGCCAAGCCCGTCTGGAGCCAGAACCACCGTACGGTGGCATCTGCCTGGAAGGTATGCGCACTAGGCTGGCTGTGGGCTGTGGTTAACACCTTCCCTTACTACATGTTCCGTCATGTGACGGTTAAACTGGATGGACGGAAGCTTTGCTACCACAACTTTGCCATCTATTCCTCGCCGATCATGCTGGAGCAGAACTGTAAGGTTCGGCATACAGCAACTGCAGTGTCAAAGGTGTTTCTGGCATTTATGTTGCCGGTGGTCATCATCGCTTTGAGTTACAGACACTTTGCCCAGCAGCTCCGCGCCCGCAGACAGAGGCGGGCGAGCCAGCAATTGGGTGTAATGGGAAATGGTAAAGTGGACAGGTCCAAGTCATCCCGTAACCTTTCCACCGTTTCCTCATCAGCTGGTGCAGAGAGACTCTCCAGAGGCTTCACTAAGATGGTTGCCTCAGTGATCACAACCTTCGCCCTCTGTTGGGCACCATATCACATCTTCTGCCTGCTGGAAGTAGCGGCTCAGTATTTTCCAAGTGATTCATCGCTGGTGGCACTGGTCGAGGTGGGGTTGCCTTTGTCGACAATCTTCGCTTTTCTGAACCCTGTGCTGAATCCCATCATCTACACCTTCAGCTGCCCACACTTCTGCACGCGGATTCGCCAGAGTTTGGCACTGCTCTTTGAAGGGCTGGTGGAGGAAGCAGGACCCCTAGTCCTGACCACCAGCAGAAGACGGAGGAAAGACCCCATCTCTCCAGCATCCCCCTACCTCTCTCAGCTCCCCAACCACCCCCACTCTCCCCCGCCTATTCAACTTTAAGAAATGCCCCGAAAAGGAATCAGGACAAAATGTGTGACTCATGGTGCTCTAGTCTATAACAAGTAGACTACAAGCTTGAACATATAGTCCAATACTCTCATAAACAGGCTATTTTCAGGCATGGACCCAAACCAACGAAAACGGCAAAATGACAAGGGCTGCACCAATTTATGAATTGGAATTGTGGCTGATTCTGATTCCTATTTCTTTACAGCCAAATTGGTTGGTGGCCGATTTTTGGCTGATTTTTTATTAGCCTCCTTTTTTACCCAAAGCATAAACTGTCTGAGCTAAATGGGCATATGAACCACACTAGCACATTTCCAGTACTTTCTATTAGCCAAGTCAGAATGTAAATTAACATTATTTGCTCATTAATGAGGCAGACTGACACTGTAAATTTGCCTTTTTAAATAACATGAATCAAATAAAGTGGTACATAGAAAGTAAAAGATAACTGAGTGTTAACATAGTCATCACAATGTGTAATCTGGTACGTTTTGGTACAGGTGTAAGAACGTGGACATCGCTAAGCATGTCAAAAATAGTAATTTGCCGGATTGCTGAGTGTTGGGTGCGCAAAATCTGCCCATGCTGATCTTGCCTGATTCCAATTGTGCACCTAAAATAACCAACCATGTGGGCTATAGAGCTGTAAGAAGTGCTTTGTGTTGTTAGTACTGACTAAGCAATGTCATTGACATTGCATGTCTGAAATTCTGAGTCTCACAGACTAGTATCTCTCTGTGACTCTTCTGTCAAATGCCAGAAAACACTTCTGTGGTTAGAAACCCTACAAACAGAGCAATATGACAAATCGCTCTCTCTCTCTGTTTCTCTCTCACTGATTTAGGTCACAGCATTATGTGGGATTACCTTTGAGGTTGCTGTAACTTTGAGAACATTAAAGAGGGTGAATCCTCACATTGTTTCAATCTGAACTCACATTTCAGATTATTCTACATTGCACATACAGTGGAATTAACCATTTCAGTAATTTTCTTCTAGCAAACCAAATAGCTAGAAAGCCAACTATCAGGGAAGTCTTTATCCTGGCATCTATTAAAATCCTTCACTTGTTTATAGATGTTTATATCCTCAGTGAAACTGTAATGTATCCAGATACACTCACAAACAAACAGTTAAAAGTATACTCAGAACTGTAAATATTTCTGATGTTAAATGTACAGAGGAGCAGGTGCTTAAGACCCTTTTGAAAATGTACTCTTAGTAGTTACTCTGTTTGTGTTAGACATATTTGATCTCTATTGAAATTATTTTAAGATTATACAAAATGGCGTTTTATAGAGGGCTAATAAACTATTTCTGCATGTTGTTTTTTAGTCTCTGCTCTTAAAATTTATTTTGAAATAGAATTCACACACACACACACACACACACACACACACACAAACACAAAAAAGTAGATTTGAGAATTTTCCTACTAACAACAGAAGGCGCAAGATGTTGTATATAGACATTATACAGTGATATAGCTGTATTAAACTTCAATAATAATCCATAATACTTCCAGCATCTATGTAGTACTCATATATTACTGACTTACAGAAATTTCTCATTTAATAACATAATAAATCTCTTGTGTAGAATCGTGTAGCAAACTATGTTAAGTGTATATATCGCTGCTGTTAGAACAACCGTGTGGTAAGGTAAAAACATTATTAATTTGTAATGGAAGCTAATGTAACAAGTTTTTTTCCAAGTACTTTTGTACCTTTTTTATTGGTTTGTTCATAATGAAATTCTAACACAATGTAAAGGGTAACAGGAGATTTCAAATTAGGCAAAAAGATTATTATATATGAATCCTATAGAAATTCATATAGTATTATTATAGTTTTTTCAGAAGGGTTATAAACATTCCTTTCACGTCTGAAGTATGAATACATTGTAATTTAGTAACCAGAAGAAGTCTGCAGCATGAAGTACAGCTCCAGTGTATAGTGTTCAATCACCATTTAGCAGCTGTATTGTGGCAGAATCTGTGAGGTGATTGCACAAGTTTCCTCAACGGCCCAGATCACTTTTCAATGATTCTTTTTGGTGAGCTTTTTGGTAAGATTTAGAAATGTACATGACATATTTAGCTCCATCTAGGAAAGAAGGACTGTAGCTGTTCATATGCAACAGATGCTCTTAGTGGTATTAAAGCTGCACTCATGCGTCACTAGAGCGACATACAGACAGCCGGGGAGAGCATGAGAGGAGGGGCGATCCCACTTTGTTACATTTGTTTCCCTTATTTATTCACAGTCTTTATTAAATCAGCAACACGATTTTCCAATGCTTCTTAATAGAAGTGTGCTAAATTACACTCCTTAAAACACAAGTGTGTTTTGTTTTTTGTCAGAAAGATTGAGTACTATTAATATCCACTGTATAAATATGGCACATTTGACTTAAGGAGAGTATTCCAGTTGATTTCTGCCCTGTAGTGTCTTTCAGATTACACTCAAATTTATTATACTTAACAGTGGCACAATCAAACAGAGCTTACTTAAGAGGAGCGCACTCAAACAGAGCACAATTAAAAAGAGCACACTCAAACAGAGCTCACTTAAGAGGAGCGCACTCGAACAGCACACTTAAAAAGAGCACACTTAAATACTTAAATGCTTAAAGAGAACATACTCAAACAAAGCACACTTAAGTGTAGCACATTCAGATAGAGCTCACTTAGAAGCAGCACACTTAAAAGGAGCACACTCAAACAGAGCACATTTAAAACAAGCACACACAAACAGAGCTCACTTAAAAGGAGCATACTTTAACAGAGCACACTCAAACAGAGCACACTCAAACAGAGCACACTCAAACAGATCACACTGAAACAGATCACACACAAAAGGAGTACATTCAAACAGAGCACACTGAAACAGATCACACTCAAACAGATCACACACAAAGGGAGTACACTCAAACAGAGCACACTCAAACAGAGCACACTGAAACAAATCACACTGAAACAGATCACACACAAAGGGAGTACACTCAAACAGAGCACACTCAAACAGAGCACACTGAAACAAATCACACTGAAACAGATCACACACAAAAGGAGTACATTCAAACAGAGCACACTGAAACAGATCACACTCAAACAGATCACACACAAAGGGAGTACACTGAAACAGATCACACACAAAAGGAGCACATTCAAACAGAGCACACTGAAACAGATCACACACAAAAGGAGCACATTCAAACAGAGCACACTGAAACAGATCACACACAAAAGGAGCACACTTAAACACATAACACTTAAAAGGAGCGTGCTTAAACAGAGCTCACTTTGAAGGAGCGTGCTTAAACAGATTACACTTAAAAGAAGCATGCTTAAACAGAGCTCACTTTGAAGGAGCATGCTTAAACAGAGCTCACTTAAAGGGAGCACAATCAAACATTTCACACTTCAAAGAAGCATTCTCAAACACAGCACACTTAAAAGGAACACTTAAGCTGAGCACATTTAAAAGAAGCACACACAGCACACATGCAAGGAGCACACTCAAACATATCACACTTAAAAGGAGCACAGCATAGGCGTGTCTAACTCTTTTCGGGTTGGGGGGGGTCAAGCACCCCTAAACTGAGTCCTAGAAAAAAGTTTTTTTGTTATTTTTCTTAGAAACAGAAGTTTGTTCTGATAAGCAAATGATATGATCTACTTTCTCTCTCCCACCTTATCCCCACCCCGCTCCCACCAGAGCCATGCAGTAGAAGCGCTTAGCGTGCACACACACAGACGCCAGCCAGTTACAGTTTGACTGTCTGTGGTGAGGTGGCTCCAGTTAGTAGCGCAGACCAGGATTTCTTTACTTTAACACTCAGTGTCAACACATTACAATCATTAGCAGCAGTCCTCAGTTTTGCTGCACTGAATCATAGATCACACTTGTTATTGTTAGATAGGAGTTAGCTATATTATGTATATCTAGCAAGCTAATATTGCAGGTTTATCAGTCATCCACTGTCCACTGTTTGAATTGGAGTGAGAGAAGCTAGCTGTTGTGCCATTGGTAGGCCTATGTATTTATATTAAAGACAAGGTGCTAGACTAGTACTGTCTGTATGTGTATTAGCTAATTAATCTTACAGAATGATAAAAGATATGATGAGAAAAAAACTGGGGGTGGTGCTCAGCACCCCTAAAGCTCTGAGTCTAGATTTGCCCCTGGAGCACACTCTAATACAGCATAGTGAAAGGTAGCACACTCAAACACGACACACTTAACAGGAGCACACTCAAACAGCATTTTCAAACAGAGCAAACTACAAGAAGTCACACTCGATCAGAACTACAGCAGGACACAATCAAACAAGGCATTTGATGGATGGAGCTGTTTGAGTTCTCTAACCGAGCACATTCAAACAGCTCCGTCTGGCAGTCTGAACCAACCACATGCCTGAACTTAAAGTCATAAGTCTTACTGATCTAAGCTTCTCTGGAATGAAGTGATCCTCGTGCCAGATTAACAGATATCAAATCACTGACTCAACACATCCTTGGTGTTTCTAAGCTTCAGTGAGATCCTCGAGAACAGAGAACTTTGTGTTCTGTGTGAATCTTGAGGTTTTTTATTTTTTTTTATTTTCTTCTTGAGGTCTTATATAATCTCTCACTGTGCACATGTACATGCTGGCATAATGACAGACACCTCCCAGTTTTCTTGATGACTCTACCTCCATTCTCTTGTACTTTGTATTTGCTTCATACTGTCGTATGTGAAAGTTTGGGAGCCCTGATAAGATTATATGTTTTGCAAGTGAAAATAAGTTAACATGTCCTCTATAGAGAACCCACTTCTGCACATGTTAAGGCATAATTAATATTTATTGGCTAGCTTTAACATATTGGGGGAAAACATAAAATGTGGCCTGTGCAAAAGTTATGGCACATTTCCTAAGCTAATGTGAAGTAAAATAACAGAATACCATATTTAAATGTTTTCTCTGTAGAGGATCCAAACTTATATTTACTTCGAAAATCAACAAAATGTGTGTGTTCAAACTTTTCCATTCAACTATATGTGCTTATTTGCTAAAGGAAATGCAGCATATGGCATTTTTTAATGGACCAAGCTGATTCCCCTGAACACTTTCACACATGGATTTGGCTAGGTAGCTAACTGTTTAAAGTCAAATTACTCTAGGCTAACTAGCAAACCAGCAACTATATCAGGGTAAAATAACCTTATTAATAATAATTAATATTTAATAATTTTTAAAAACTAAACTAAAAAAAAATAATAAACCAATAAACTTATTATTATTATATTAGTTGGGGTAGTTTCAAGAGATTGTATCTTACTGAAATAATCCAGCGCTACCTAACGTTAGCTGAAAGTCTGGGTTGTGTGCTTGAAGAACACAACATAGAAATTCACCATGAAGTTATGACATAAAGTCAAAGGACCATGGCACTGCCTATGTTCCACATACCATTACATTAAAAAAAATACTGGCTTTAAGCAATTTCATTTATACCGGTGTGTTTAAATCAGAACATACTCTTTTAAGGAAATTGGGCTATGATCCTGATTACATCCATTCGCATATCTCACTTTTTGCCTTTTCAATGGTGGAGAGGGTACAAAGAAGTTAGAATCCATTGCACATACCTAATTGTGGCTAAACAAGTGAGTGTAAGACTTAGCACATAAGCATGGTAAATGAGAAGGATACAAATAAACCTCGGTTCAGATTTGTGTGCTAGTCTGCAGCTCCAAGGCCATAAACAATAGCCAAGTGTCTCTAGTTGAAGCACAATAAATGCAATTTATGTTCAAATAAGACTGAATTGTGTTTCTCAACCCTGGCAGAAACACACAATTCAATTTGTAGCGTTCCCGCATAATCCAAAGTACAGAGAGGGCTGCATGTATATAGAAAGGGCAAAAGAGAGTTCACCATATAGTATAGTGTGATTGACTATAAAATCAACCATTAACAAGTGGAATTACTAATCATACCTGTATGTAATTCTCTCATCTGTCCTTCTGAAATGCCTTCCCTGTCTTTCACTGGATAATCTCTTCTTGCCGTTGTGATTGTGGAATTAAGACCTTCCCTGAATTCATATCCTGCTATCCCAATCAACTTCCACGCTGACATCCATCAACCACCTAAGCAGTTTATTTTGAATATTGTGTAATCTTCTACATGTGTTTCAATCTTTTTCATCTCTCATTGGAAAACGGAATGGGAAACCCCCCACACACAGCTATTTGTGTATAACTTTCACAGCATTTTTCCTACATGCAAAATCAGTTGCTGTTTTTAGCCTGCAGGTCATCATCAGCTTGGGTAGTAGGATAGTGGTACTTCCATAGTGCTAGATAATAGGTCAGTGGGCCACTCAATCAATTAAGCTTTAGTCATTTGGCACATTTTGGACAGCAGTTCCGAGGCACACGTGTGTGCTACACATTCAGATAAAACTAGTATAAGAGATTGGGGAACAGTTGCTGCTTAAAAATGGAAAACATAATGGTTGGCACACGGTTTATAAATAGAAAAGAAGAGATATCCAAATGAAAACAAGACAAAACCATTTTAAAACAATCTTCTTATTGTCGGGGAAGCTTGCAGAGACTGGGGCGTAGCTGCTAAAAGCTAACACAATGTATGATTTGTCCTAATTTTGGAATAACAGAACATGAGTAGAGGATTTAAGGAGTCCGTAGGGAATGTACTTCAGCAGCTTGCCTGACATGCGTTTGGGTGTGAGGCTGTTCAGAGGTTTAGTCTAAAAGCTTAAGTCGTAAAGGCCCACAATGCTAAAGTTGTTAATCATCAGCAAATGCTAACATGGGCCTTCAAGCATTGAGCTTATGTTTGATGCCCAGCAGCCTTAAATTCACTGCTAGCATTGTTAGCGCTATTAGGTGAAGTAAGTAATTTAGTCAGTTGTAAATTGAGAAGTGAAGTAAATCATTTGTAACGAGATGAAGATTCAGAGACTTCAAATTGGACTTTCTCCTGGATAATACAATACACATGTGTTTGCAATCATTCATAATTGAGATAGTGTTTTCAAGTAGACCACATAGAAAAGTGTTACAGTAGTATAGCCTGTTAAGCATGTGCACATTGGGACACTGTAAAACTGTCAGAATTGGATTAACCCTTTAAAATCCCAGACTTATTCAATACAAAACTTATTATATACCAACTACAGGGACTTCAATGCTAACTAGTTAAGCTATTCTTAGGTTATAGAAGTATCTACTAAAACTTTGGCTCTGGCCATTTAAGAGGTTAAACCTTGATGTCCAGTGAACACTGTAATGGTTCAATCACACTGCTACAAAACAGGACAGTGTAAACTAGCATGCATTCCATGCTGGTCTTCACTGGTTAATGTTTGTTTACGCTGATCTGGTGCTGGTTTAGCTGGTCACCCAGTCCAACCATGCTCGTTCCAGCATGCCATACTAGCATCCAAAACACAACTTACTATCACTGTCCATAGAAAAACATCTCCAAAATAGTGCCTTTACAGGAGAAGGCAAAAACGTTCTTAACTTTTAATGTAAATTAATGTTAAGATATTTTATTTCAAGTGTGATTTTTGAGCATTTCTATTGGTCTTCACAGTGAAATTGTAACACAATGTAAATGACATCTGCTGTGTTCAAATGATGTAGGAAAATAATGATCTTTTCTTTTTTCTTTTTTTTTTTTGGACAGTGACAATATGCTGGTTTTGGTGGTGCTCAGCATATCAACTTCCATGCTTCTGGCCAGCATATCAATGTCCAAAACATTTGCTGGTGACCAGCTTGACTGGTCTATGCTGGTTTTTCTAGCAGGCAATGCTGACAGTGTCACTCCATATTTTTATACACACACTAGATCTGTGGTTTTTTGTGTGACAAATGGAAGATGGGTCTGTTTCAGCAGCTCTTGTGTGGTGGAACAGGGCGTCCTGCTGACCTTTAAGGGCCTGTAAAGGGCGAGGGCTAATCCAGGTGGAGGTCAAAAGGGCACATGTTGTTCTGAGCAGAAAAAAAAAAACAATAGGCAGGAATCAGAAAGTATAAGAGGATTTAATCTGAGAGTAGAGGAGGCTGGGTGGATTAAACCAGATGTAAACAGAACATACAGGACAGGAACTGGTGGGAAATTAAGACAGTTTTGTCTGGTTGTCGGATGAAACTAAATCAAAGCAAATTCTTGTCCAAAAACATCTTTGCTGTATTCAATAATCCAATGATGAGAAAAATAAATTGTTCAAGAATTCATTTGTGTTTTGCCAATAAATGAAAATATTTTTTAAGGAAAACAGCATTGTTGTGCACAATTTCCTGGAACACTCCCCTGAATAAAATGTGTAGGAGAATTAAGGAATGCTGATCCACTGAGAGAAGACAGAGTGAATGAGAAAGAGAGAGAGGGAGAGACAGAGAGGATAAAGAGAGTGGGAGGGAGGATAGATACCGAGTGAATGAGTGAGAGATAAAGCAAATGACTGATGAAAAGAGAAAAAGAGGAGGGGCAAGTGATCCAGGAGACAGAGATGTTTTCGAGAGCTGTTTTTCCGAGGCAGAATGTGAAAGAGAGAGAGATAAAAGAAGTGGATAGAGATAACAGGACTGCAGCGGGGTGGACAGAGGGATATTAATGCCCATGTCAGTAATCTCAATGGAAGCAGGCAGCATGGACACGATCGAGGTCCCACGGGATAAGATTGTGAAAAAGGTGAGCGCCCTTTTGTTCTGGATGACTGCCTTTGTATTTTTTCATTTTAGATTGTTTTTATTTATTAAATTAAAATGTAAATTCTATCTGTAGCTTTAGATTTAGCTTTAAATTTAGACTTCAAATTGTGCAGCACTCTGTTTCTGGAGCAACACAGTGGTTACTCATCCAGAAAGGAAAGAATTGGAGGTGTGTTCATGTCCTGTCTCAGTTTCCTGCATTGTTTCTGAATAACTGAATTAAAAAATGCTGATATATTGATTCTTGGAGGAATAAGGAGTTTTTCTGGAGTAATATGGCTTCTAAAATTTACTATCAGATTAAATGTACATTGAAATCATGTAAACTCTCTGTGTGGTTGTAACCAGAGTATAAACAAGGTGCAAATGGAGTTATAATGACAGGTAGTTTAGTAGTCAATAATTGTGCTCTTACTGAATAAAGAGAATGTATCTTAATGCATTTAGCAACATAAGTAAGTAAAATGTGCATTTGTTTTCATTTTATTAAGACTTAATGTTAATCCTTAAAACCATTCATTCAGACAGGCCTCTTTTCCATTTATAATGGAAGATAAATGAACAAAAATGCAATGAATAAACCCATTTTCCCATTTAGTACATTACTACATGTGATGTGTTGCCTTTTAGAACTTAAAAGTGGGTTTGAATGCATGGAGGCCCACTTGTATGACCATCATTTTCAGACCATCATTGCAGGAGGTTTTTGTAAAACATATTTTCTCTTCTTTCATTTCAATCTCTATGTAGGGATCAATCAAAAAGAAGATAGAGAAGCTGAGGAGATGGAGCACCTCTTCTGGTGGGAGCTTTAAACGTCCCCCCAAAGAGAAGACCCTTAGTCTTAGACAACCCACTGAGACAGAAGAAGATTCAAGGGAGGGTGAAAGGGTGCGCAGAAAACTCAGACCCATGGTGGCTTCTGTTTTTGGACAGGTAGGAATGAGAACAGCACTTTTCTCTCTCATCTGCTGAATGAAGAGGAAGACAAGATTGTGTCCTGCAGATTCTCCACACTGAAAAAGTGATGCATTGAATTTATGTTGAATTAGATAAAAGTTATTGTCCATAAAGGAAATTTAATAACCCTGCCTTCAGAACAATAGTCCTTAAAGTAAAGCCCAATGAATGCATGCTGCAGAACAATTGCGAGAACAATGTTGACATTTGAGTTTTGACATTTCATGCTACACTTTTTTAGTGTATTTACCAATGTAAAAACACATAATCAAAGTTCAGCATGGGTATCAAACTTTAGCCCATGATAGCGTTCATCTCACATTTAGATTTGTATTACTTAGTCAGGTATCAGTGACAATGTTTGCATTTCCCATTTGCATAATATTCAAAATTGCATATTCACTCTCTCAAGCTTACAGTTCTAAACTTTACAGCAAAGCATGCAGAACCAAGACTTCACCCACTGTTTATTTTGGGAGGCTTAGTTGTAACCAGAGCGTAACTAGACTCAATTTACTGAGGCACGTAAAAAATTGCCATGGCCCAATATAGTCGCAGAAAAAAGTCAATACTTCAGCTATAAATTTTCCACTTATAACCTTTATTGTTTGGATATATATATATATATATATGCCCAATGACAGCTGGGATAGGCTCCAGTACCCACCGCGACCCAGAAGGATAAGCGGTTTAGATGATGTATGTATGAATGTATGTATGTATATATACACACACACATCTTCTAAACTGCATCTCAATCTGGGTCATGGTGGGGGGGAGCTGGAGCCTATCCCAGCAGTCATTGGGTGGAAGGCAGGATATTTCCTGGACAGGTCACCAGTCCATCGCAGCGCAGACAGACAGACATATACATTCACTCACACACTTGACACAGCAAGTCAAGCATGGAGCAGTCAGAGTAGTGCTAATGCTTAAATGATATCTGATATCGCATATGAAAATGGAATCTATTTTGAATATAGACTATTTCGCCACTGCAACTAACAAGCAGAGAGGCTGGGCTGTACCCATCTTAATTCAGAGCGTCCTCCAGTTGTTGTAACACTGCGTTACAACTAACACCACTGTGTGGAGACTATGCTTTAGCCTGGCTAACTTTTCATTGTAAGTTGTCTATATGTCTCACAATGATGGTATATTATAGCCACCAAAAGTTTGATTAAAATAATATACGCTTAAATTCTGTTAGTCATACGCATAATTCAGTAATCGAAAAACACTTATGAAAAAAGCAAAAAAGCTAATTTTATGGTACAAAAATGGCTTTCATGGTGAATAATGAGAAAAAAAACTGTCCAAATACTGTCAAAATTTGCAGATAACATTGCTATGGTAATACAAGAAGATAACCGAAAGCGCTCAAACCTGTTCAACACCGTAAAATATCCATGTTACATTTTACCCTGTGTTAAAATACATAGAAAACATCCATAGAACATATAGTATAAAAATATACAGGTATTTCTAGCACTCCAAAGGCAGTTCAGTGTTGTAGAGGATCCAGGTGATGTTATCAACTAGAAAGCAAGGCTACAATGTGCTCACATGCTGAGGGTGAGCCGCTAATGAGGATTACGTACTGAATACACACACATGCACCCACACAAACAAACACTCACACATTCATTCAAAATCCAAACCACAAATGGGTCAAATGAGGGAAAGAAAAACAACTCCTGCAAGAAGACAGTAATGACTCATTACCTTCATAATGGTACAAAATAGCAGGATGAAATGCACACATTGTTATTGCAGAAATCCCCTGGAGTTTAGTACTGAAGTGTACATTAACTTTACTATGGTACTATAATCTTGTTTTAGGTGGAGGCCAAAGCATTGACTGTTCCACATTGCAAAAGCAACTTAAGATGTTTGCTCAGCAAATTCTTATGCCATGACTTACACCAACAAACAGTTAGGTGTGCAAGAATGAACAAGGATGCCTTTAATTCTTCAGTGTTAAGTTCACCATAATGTTTCATTGCAACCAGCAGCTTTTACTTCATTTTTACATTATTCTGCTGTTTGCTCTCATCATTCTGCACTGGAGAGTGGACAGGTGTGTGTGGGCACATGCGTTGGTTTGTGTGCCAGGGCTTAAATGCACACATGAATTTGTTGTCCTCAGAGGCTCTAACCTTTCCTGGTGGGTCGTGATTACAGACAGCATTAATCACACCCAGAGCAGGCAGGCAGTGTTACGAATGTAATCAAACATTCTCACACTGAGGGGATAGATTAGAAGGCTGGCTGTGGCATTAGAATCCATAATTATAGGCTCTGTCTGTGTCTCTTCGTGATATCCAGCTTTGCACAATCGCAAGCCTGAAGTGTAATCAACGCATTGTGATGTCTAGATTACAGTATGTGCTCTTTCCATTAAGCTGAGTGGCTGGAGGGACAGGATAAGCCCTCCCTATTTATTAGTATTTTTTTTTTTTATTATTATAATGTATTTTCTAAAGATATAAAGCAAAAAACTAGCAAAATGTTGCAGTATCATCTGTGTAGTTTAATGGACAATGGACACCTGACCAGTACACCTTGCTTTTTAAAACATCATGAGAATTAATATGGAGTTACTTATGTTTGCAGCTGTAACAACCTTCACTCTTCTGAGAAGGCTTTTTTGTGAGAAGACTAATTTGTGTGTGAGAGAGAATTTGTTCACATTCAATCAAAAGAGCATTTATGAAGTCAGGCACTGATGTTGGATGAGAAGGTCTGGCTCACAATCAGCATTCCAGTTCATCCAAAAAGTGCTCAGTGGGGTTGAGGCCACATTTCCACGGTTTGGTTACTCCACACCAAACCATGTCTTTATGGACTTCACTTAGTGCACTGAGGTGCAGTCATGCTGGAGCAGGAAAAAGGCCTTCCTCAAATTGTTGTCACAAAGTTGAAGCGTATAATTATCTAAAATGTATTTGCATACTGTAGCATTAACATTACCCTTCACTGGAATTAAGGGGCCGAGTTCAAACCCTGAAAAATAACCTTAGATTGTTGTTCCTCTTCCACCAAACTTTTCTCTTGGTACTAGGCATCCATTACGTAATCACAAACCCAGATTCGTCCATCAGACTGCTAAATAGTGAAGCATGAGTCATCACTCCAGATGTGATTTACAGGAGGCCAGTCGGCACTTGGCATTGCACATAGTGATCTTAAGCCACAGTCACGCTGAATGCAAGTAAAATCTGCCTGATGAAAAAGCAAATTCACTCGAATAGAAAAGGACGAGAAAAAGGAATTCACTTCTGGTAGCGTTAAATTTCGCTTTGCAACAAGTTTATCTAGGTGAACTTGAAACTCGAATGAATTTGCAAACCTAGGAAGTGACAGCCAATAGAAAACAAGAGGGCAAGCTGTGCTGTCTTCTTTCTGAAAAATCCTGAATGGAGGAACTTCATTCATCCATCATCACAACCTCCATCATCACAACTTTGCTTGTCACTTACAGTTGCAAAAAAAAACAAGCTACACATTTCCTCCCAAATCACCTCATATCAGTACCACCGTTCACCTGAATTTTGCTTCTCCCTCCACGAAAAAAAACTGTGAGGTAACAGTTTGGTGTGACCGTGGCTTTAGGTTTGTGTGTGCCTGCTAGTCCATGGAAACCAATTTCATGAAGATCCCAACGCATAGATCTTGTGCTTGTGTTGCTTCCAGAGGCGCTTTGGAACACTGTAGTGAAAAATGCAACAGATGATAGTACTCAAATGGCAAAAGTGGCATCCTATGAAAGTGCTTTATATAAAGTCACTGAGCCCTTCTGGATGAACCATTCTGCTGCTAATGTTTGTCTACACTCTCAGAAAAATGTACTCCTTGTCACTGGGGTTGTACCGTATTTCATTGCAATTATATATTTTTTAAATAATATTGACTCCATACACTCTAACCTATCTTAAAACACAAGGTTATGAAAAGAAAAGGGAAAAAAATATTAAAGATACACTGTTGAACCTTAAGGCCATTGTTGTACCTTTGATGGTACATTTGCATTGTTTGTACCTTCACAGTACCTTTTTTTCTGACAATATATGAAGATTACATGGCTATGTGGTTGATTTTGTACACCTGTTAGCAATAAGTGTGGCTAAAACACCTGAACTTAATAATTAGAGATGTGTCCACAAACTTTTGACAATAGAGCATATGTAAATATTTGTAATGATGTATTGATTACTCTTGCAGCTTTTTTCAACTTCTCTACTCAGTCCCAGGAAAGTGTTGAAAGATGAGTTTCCAAACATGCTAAAAAACAAATGGTTTGCTGGCAGTGTCATTTTCCTGTCAAGCCACAACCACCTCTAGAGGTGTTCACATGCAAGCTTTCACAAAGAACTGAAGATGTTATCAGGAACGAAGCATGATAAGTCAAAGATTCAGAGTGGTGATATGCTGAGCAGCCAACTTCTAGAACTGAACTTTAGAGGTGTGGAAAAACATCCCTACAGATATCTTTGAACAGCTGAAAGCAAGTCTACTGAAAAGAATGGAAGCTATAATAAAAGTTTAATATTTGGAAATTGATGTTTCTGTGTAATTTTCTGTTACGTATATTTTTGGCCAATTTCACAATGATGTATAATGAATGGTCTCTGACTTTTGCACAGCACTGTATGCTGTAATGTGTGTTCTCTATATGCTCTTATGCTATTTCTCTTGGTGTGCCCTAGTTCAAACAATTCAGTGTATGAGTGCTAATGTATGATCAGTTTTCAGTTTTACATGCTTAGAAATAATTATATCAGCTGAAGGAATCCTAAATTAGGACTCTTGGTCTGAGATGCTTGGAAGTATATGGACAACTAGGAACAACATATTTCGTACAGCTTTAGTGACCATAGAGCTTGGATATTCAGTTCTGGTACTGGTTTTGATGATTTACCTGCTTAAACACTTGATTGCGCTCATCTGTTCATTGCCAGATTTAGACAAAGCAG